AATGACAGCGCCTTTTGATGGTGGCTCGAATGTCCGCTTGCCCGCACGTGACGGCGCGTTCCTACCTCCGGAGATAGTCGAAATATGCAACGACGGCTGAATATTTATGAAGCGACGCTTCGGACGTGAAGAGAAGGGGGAAAGGGAAAAAATTCGACCGGGAGCGTCCGCTCGGCACGTATTAATTACTATCGATGAAAAACAGAGGCGTCCGGTAACACGACCATTTGGCACGGCTCGCGTCCCGCCGTTATTTGCTAACCGGTAAAAACCGCGCTCTGCGCCGCTCGAAGAGACAGAGAGAGAGAGAGACAGAAAGAGACAGAGGGAGAGAGAGAGAGAGAGAGAGAGAGAGAGCGCTGCAACACAGCGTTGTTGCATAAATCGCGATTAACCTTCGCGCCGAGGGCTCTCGTCCGCATGCGGCAATCCGTTGCAAGCGCAAGACATCCCCGCTGCTCTTGTTTTACGAGCGCGACGCGACTCGGCGCGCCGCGAACGGGGGTTGATTCGTCCGGGGGATCGAAACGCGGTCTAATAATTGCGAGCACGAGCTTCCCGACTACAAATTTATCCCTTGGCCCTGATCAGGTTGATTCCAATCGGTTATTTGTTTTGTATAAAGTGATGCTATCGGTTCTCCCAGCAAGTCATGTAATGCAATGTGGCAATCAGGACTTTATTAATTATGAGGATCATTACATCCAAACTCTAATTGCGTAGCGCTGCTTCTTGTAATTTCAAGTTCTAAGCGAAAATTCTTACTGGAAGAGCATTCTTTTTCTAATAAAGTAGATTGAAAATCTACTAGATATTATTTATTTATTTACTTTATAATATATTCTATATTATACATATTTTTCCCCCGTTTGAATTAAATAAAACCTATTTAGCTTTGAATAGAATACTCTCTTATTAAAAAAATGTCTATTAAGAACGAGTTTCGTACAGTGGATGAGAGACGAAATTCTTCTAATTTTAAGAATTTGTCTTTAGAATATTCTTTTTTCGGTTTTAGAAGAATCCTCTTAGGAATCCTTTTAGAGATCTCTTTCTCTCATATATGTAAAAGTAAAATTCTCTAGAATTGAAAAATTTTCGCTAAGGATAAGATTACATTTTTGGATGTAATAATCAGAACCTTATTGATAATAATGATTATAATAAGATCGAGGGCGATTGTTTGGTTATCAGAAGCTTTTTCCTGTCGAGGATGTACAGAGAGAAATATATATATATATATATATATATATATATATATATATATATATATATATAAATATAAAGTACATACATGGCGCACGAACTGTGCGATTGAGTATCGTCGTGCAAATTCCGCAAATTAAATTGAACGACCGCGGCGAGTGACAGCTCGGTCTAATAATATCGTCGTGGTGATAGCGAAATTTCGCTGTTTTAATAATGACTGACTTAAGCCCGCCTAATCGCGGAAGAATTACACCTGTTGCTGTTGCAACAATCTCCACGATCGCAATTGAATCCTTTCCATTAGGTATATTGCTCCATTTCGCGGCGTCCTTGCAAAATGGACACACTGGACGAGCCAGCCGGTTCATTTTCGAGAGTAGTATTGATCCCGCCATCACAGAATAAACTGGATCAATTATTCCTATCCTGTTTTCAATAATTCAGCGACGTTAGGCTGAGGCTGAGAGAATAAGCATAAGCAACAATACTGACTCTTACAGAGTCGAGAAATAACTCCCTTCAGATATTTCATTGATTTATCTCTCGAGCGCGTACAATACAATTTTATTGACATGATTACAATCGACTCAGATGAGGCCAAAATGAAACCAAGATCCGTAACACATCCGAAGATAACCGTATTTTAATAAATCATCTGTGTCTAAAGAAGCAAATCGACAATTTCGATTGGAAACTCGAGCTTTGCCGGATGCAAAGCAACAAGTGACAAATCGCGAAAAGTCGCCGACGTTTGATTTTTCATCCGAAAGATATTTTTGAAGTGCGACGGGGAGGAGGCAGAAGGGAAAGAGAGAAGGGAAGGAGACAAACTGGGTCCTGTTATTTTCAATCTTCGCGATCACTCGTATATTTTTGTATATTAATTATTTCTCGCGAACTTATATTCCCCATTGGCGCCGCTTCGTCGCCAGAAATGGCCGGCGTAAAAGGGGAGGAAGAGGCTCGTAAAACCAGGAAGGGAGGCGCGCCGTGGAAGTGGCCGATAAAATTGGCAGGCGCTATTCCACGTTCCGCGCGCATGTTATTCGATTTTGCAGATACGTAAAGGCGAGCGGCGAATATCTCGACGCGAACTTTTTCCCAGCTCGAGTCGCTCGCAGTCCAGCTAAATGGCGTGTCGCAAAGCCGCGCGACAAATCACGAAACTTTATCTGTTATCGTATATTATGCACGGGCTGCACCCGAGTGACGTCTCGGCGAGACTTTTTGTCTCAATTAACTGCGATTGGTCGTCGCTCAGTCGAAATTCTGAGACGTCGGTACTTGTCGAGTTTTCAGATTTTGATCGACTCGCTGTCGGCGCTACTAATTTCACGCTCTTCTTGCTTAAATTAAAAATAGTAACCAGGAGCTTTTGTTCGCTTTTTATTTATTCGGCAAGATTTCACACGTCATGTCAAGTAAATCTCTGATCGAGGGATTGTTCTCCGCTCGTTGCAACGTTATTTACTTGTGTGTGCATTGTGAAAAAAATAGAGCACATATCGACATCCTCGAAAGGATCTCGAGCGCTCTTTACGGATTTTCGAGGGACATCCCAAATTCAGGTGCGATCGATCGGGAATAGACTCCTCCCTACGTTGTGCAAATTCAGCAGCGAGCTGTTTTTAGAACGGCATCAAGTGAATCGTCCGATTCGCGTCACTGCTCAGTCAAATTAGAAAATTATCTCCGCTTTTGAGCAAACAGTCATACCAGGAATTATTCAAAGTCACACTTCCTACTTGAATTCTTATTTCATTTGAATTCTCGCGACGGGTCACGTCGCGTCGAATATTTTAATCGTAGAATCAAGACGTGTTATTCCATGACTTCTCAATTTTTCAAATGTCAATTAATTCACGGACAAAACGTTCTGTTTGAGATATTCGAAATAAGACGTGAAACAGAATATATTAATTAAATACAAAATTTTAACTACACACACATGCACACACAACTTTAAGCGGTAATTCGATTGGTCTTATAATAAAGTGCTTGTTACGTTAAAATTAGGACACGCGCATACACGAACACACACACACACACACTCACGTGTACCGGCTTCTATGAGAGGGGAGCGTTTATCACGAAGATAATATACCGAGCTTTCGCGGCCTTCGTATCGGATACGATTTTATGAGCGCAGCAATTTCGTCATCGGCATTATTGCGTGCACAGCGCAGTCGGCGCATTACGCGCAGGGAGCGAGGATGCACAGCGCGGGAGATCCTTGCCGTGAATTATTGCATTATCGTGTGCCTTGATTGCACTCGCTCGCTCTATCTGCAGCGCGAGAGGAGCCGCGCACTACGGGGTTGTCTGTCGCAAAAGTCTCGGCTAATGCACTTAATTGAAGCCGGGGCCGCGTTATGCACCTCCGTTCGCCATTAACGAGCTCTTTCATGATGATGCGATCCCTCTGAGCCATCGGCCGAGCGAGTGGCCGCGTGCGGCGCGTGAATAATTCCGTCCCGAAATTTTCCGTACACTCTTGGGATGCGCCTCTTGTCGCATCTTCTCGCGAATCTCGCGAATCTCATCGTCGTCTTGCCTCGTCGTCTCGCGCACCACGAGAGTGGAAACTTTCACGACGATCTCGTTGAGATACGCAAACGTCTCTTCCCGATTGGTCGACTTCTGATTAACATGCTTGCATATTTAGCGTTAAATCCGACCGACCAGGTCTTGAGATCCATCTGCTTAATGTAGACCGACGATCATGTGGTCGATTTTCAGCGAGAAACGCGCAACCCGAATGTAATCTCTCAGATTGGACTCTGCTCTCGATGAAACGCTCGAATTAAGGATACATTGCTCGTATAGTGTCTGCAAAAAGTCGCTGAAAAGTACGCTAATATTTTTATTTTACAAATGGGAGAAATGAATTAATGAAAACATATGATATATATACGTAATATAATATCACATACATATACTACACATTTACACAAACTTTATGTTTTCTTTTATTTGCGCAAGTATTCATAAATACTATAGATTATTAATCGTACAATTAAGCACGAAAATATTGCTTCGCATATTACTCATTCGCCATAATATTTTACATATTTAGAAAGGCAAAACCTGCGCGCAGACACGCGTACGCGCATGCGCACACGCCATGAAAACGTCATTATGTTTACTGGACTCCTACTTGGAAGTGGACTAACTTTTCAGATTGTGTATTGATCCAGACTCTAGATCAAAGTCAAATTATTTGTAATCCCTTAATAGTGATCACCGTTATTCGGGGTTTTTCAAGAGTTATTATTGATTGTTGCGACATTATTACTGTCCCGTTTGAAGATGTTACCGATTTCAACTCTGCTCGCTAGACGTTAAATTGCGTTACATCCAGTAATTTTAAGTCGGACGACTTATAATTAGATATCACATTTGGATATGAGAATCCGTGACGACTTGCTAATCGCCTGCCAATGGACGGCGAACCAAGTTCACTGACACGTTCGCCTAATGACACAGTTAACGCTTCATCCATTAATAGCCGATAATCGAGCCATTAATAAGTGGTACCATTAATAGTAGAGCCATTAATAAGACCGACGGACTGTGGTGTGCCAGCTTCCATCCACTTCGGGGGCTTTCCGCCGTCGATTCTTCTCTATATCCCCAAGTGGAATCGATCTGCGGATGAGTGTCTCGCGCTCGTGGCCGGTGATAATCGGCGCGACGTTCGCGGTGTCATTATTTGATGTACGTCACGCGAATAACCCCGATCGGACTTGAACGGCCAGTCACTAATCCCTTTCATCCGCTGTCGGTTGCAGGTTGGCAGCAGCGCAAGAGGCGGCACAAAGGGACCCTGGATACGCGCGTCAGTACAGGAGAAGGCCGAGGTTGGCCGGACTGAGTGGTCTCGGTGACTGGACTAGCTTCGGAGGGGAGGTAAGAGAGCTGGCAATTACGCTGGGCAACAATTTTTAACTTTTGTTTGTTTGCGCCGAGCGTTTTTGATATATTTTCCGCACAATAAAAAAACATAAGTTTTTTTTTGTGTTGAAATCGATCCGTGCAGAAACTTTTGTGTTCAACTTCGAAGGAAAATAACATATAAAAACCATTGTCGTGCATCTCCGAAATTGTTACCAATGAAACATTTTGCTTACTGTGTTAGAATTTAGCAGGTCAAAATTAGTAAGAATTGGTGACTTTTTATTGGTGATCTTTAGCACAAAATGGCTGTTGGCGATCGTGTTATTGTCGTTCATTGTTTCCGATGTTGTAACTGTTACGACCACGCTCCGCTGTATTAATTCAACGTCAAACACCGTTGCGGTCGTTAGTCTCTCGGATCCACCGATGGATCCACCTATGGCGGTTCCTCCGAACGCATTGCCTGCGGGTCGATCTCGCGCGCGTCCCCGATAGTTCCCTAGCTAGCTTCGCCGAGGCGAACGATTTCTTCCCGGCGATTTTCAGCCGGAGGACAATTTCCCCCAATGTTTAGCCGAGTTACGTAACATTCGATATTTTATTCGACCTTCAATGATCTCACTATTGCTCGATCGGTGGAATCGGCCGATCCAATCGTCGTGCGGATAAAATCCAACGATGTCTCAAGAACGGCTTCTTTAATAGCTCTTAGTAATGTACTTTTTCTGGAAGGAGAAGGGGGAACGCTCACCGTATCGGCTAGAAGAATCTAATAGCGCGGGGCGCTCAATCGTCTGGAAAAAGAGAGCGCAACGAGTTTTCTTCCACCCCTTCCATGATATCCTAGCTCGTCGGCGATCTAACGTGACATGTCGTTTTCAGGTATCTGGTCTGGTGGACATGGCAAAAGGCCGGGATCAGGGCGGAGGGGCGGGTGGGGGTGGGCCAGGCGCCAAGGCGCCGTTGCCCTCGTCGTTGTTTATCCTGTCAGAGAAAAACATCATACGAAGGGTCACCCGCTTCATCATCGAGTGGCCGCCCTTCGAGTACGCCGTCCTGCTCACCATCATCGCCAATTGCGTGGTCCTCGCCCTCGAGGAGCATCTGCCGAAGCACGACAAGACTATACTCGCACAGAAGCTCGAGGCTACGGAGGTCTACTTCCTCGGGATCTTCTGCGTCGAAGCGAGCCTCAAGATCCTCGCCCTCGGCTTCGTCCTCCACCGCGGCTCCTATCTACGCAACATCTGGAACATCATGGATTTCTTCGTCGTGGTGACCGGGTGAGGGCAAAACGCTTCTACTTTCTCTTCCTCTCTTCTTTTATGTCTCGTCAGCCGAGTATTCCACTCTGCGTCCCCTCCTCCTTTCATCGGTCCCTCTCTTCTCTTCTTCTTCCCGTTTCCTATTGGTTTCCCGTAAGATGTTAGTCACACTCGCGCGCCTTTGAAGAAAGAAAGCCGACCTCCTTCGGTCGATTCAATCATTTGCCGATTATTAATTGTCCTGTGAGCGAAATCGTCCTCTCATCATCTTTATTCGAAAAATTCTTCTCTCACTCGCGAACATGACACATTCAATATCACCGTGTCATCGTATAAACTTAGCCACAGTGCTTTCCTCTGTGCAGTCACATTTTTTTATTCATATGTATAAGTAGGGGAGATCGTTAACATTGATTGTTGAAGAGAGAAAAGAAGGAAATGCGACGAATAATCACCACATCATTTTGCGCGTTAATTGATTCGCGGCTAGAGCGAGTGACGAAACGATTCCTTTCCTGCTTAAACCTTTGCGAGGAAACAAGTTGCTGGAGAAACCAGTTCCGTCAAACAGAACGTTCGATCGTTGTAGACGTGTTCGAGTCGACAGAAAAACAATGGAAGATACCCTCTTCTGTTTGAAAATATGTATATTGTCGAATGGAGTGGTAAAATCTGTTTAATTTATGTAAAATTGATTTTTGCAAGTCGCATAAAACATATATGCAAACACATTATTTGCGGAAAATTTTGACTGCGGGATTGGTTTCTCCAGCCATAGGATTTAAGGAACACACACCGACTATCATGCCGGTTGGTCAGATAGATTCTAGAGTAATCCTTGGATTAGGTCGATGACCGTGTTCGCCGAAACAAACGTGGACGTCGACCTGCGTATGCTACGTTCCTTCAGGGTCCTCAGACCGCTAAAGCTGGTTTCGAAAATTCCAAGTGAGTCAGTCAGAGTTCTGCGAAAGAAAAGCAGCGACTAACAAGCACCCCGATATCAAAAGCCAGTAACAGTCGAGCTAACAGTCGAGCAGCAGACGACTATAACCCCTCCGAGATTCCTTTCTCTCGAACCACCCCCTTTGTTCTCCACATTGTGTCTCCTGGCAATTTGTGTGCGTTCTCATAGTTACGAACATAGTTTTAATGTCTCGTCGCCGAAACTTAGTTCGACCTTTCAGTTTCGGCCGGTTTCTCCACGCTTTAGTTATACCTGGTGCGACGTCTAGTTCTGGCAAGCGAGAGAAGCATCGACTTGAATTTTTGTCTATACAAACACACATACAAAAACACCTACACACCACGTAACATATATATATATATATATATATTTATATATTACTAGTTCCCGTCCTTCTAGTCTCCTGCGTTAGTCTTCTAACTGCGTATAATCATGTTCTTACTAACCTTCGCTTAGAGGCTATGGGTGTTTTAGATCTGTTGACAACGCTAGATAAAAAGTTGGTGATGGGTAAAGCTAGTTCAGTTGCTGATCGATATTTGTTGAATAATATAATTTATATATACACACGTACATATATATCAACTCTCTTTCTCTGTGTCTACGTTACTTCTGAGTATTTCGTCTAGATTTATCTATATATTCTAATTACTTCATAGAGGACTTGTATCTAGCGATTAGAATTAGGATCAGTCTGAAGTCTACGATCGCTCCACCTTACGCACACGTTCTCGAAGTCTCAGGAGACCGCAGTCACGTGCAGGTGCACCGTTTGCACTTTCGAGCAACAATTCCCGGAAAACGTTACTTTTTTGCGACGCTTGAAGCTTCATAATGCAAAATTTTTCTTCTCAACCTTCAAGCGTTTCTTCCGTGAATTTTTCCGATAACGCGCACGTCACGTAAGAGTTTTACAGTTTCTGAAAATACGATGTAAGTTACTATCTCATAGTTGCTGTTTTTATTTTCTATTGACATAGAATAGACGCGGAAACATGCCGGCGATTTTATCTGCAATTTCGAGACTGAATGACTCCGACTCGTTGTGTATGCGTAGGGAAATGAGCGCGTGGCGAGTAGTTTGAGCGCCGAGCAATCGTCGTGTCTCAGGCGCTAAAACTTAATCGCTACTCTTATTTAATCGTCAGAACGTAATTTAGACCGCGGCCCACGAGTAAGGAACTTCTTTTCGTAATAGTTCGTGCTTTAAGAGAGAGCGAAAGGAAGAGAGAGACAGAGAGAAACAGAAATAGCGTTTCCTACAGAAGAGTGATAACGGTTCGGACAAGTGGTCCCTGAAGATGCGCACTCATGGGCGGGCAGACAGGAAAGGAAAAACACACACACGCACACAGAGGATGTGGTGACCCGCCGCGCGGTACCTATATTTAGCGGTTAGCTATCTTTAGCCGCAGTCGCTAAATAATAGAGTCGGCTATACATTGTTAAACGGATACGTGTCTTAGAGCAGCGTAACGTGTTCCCGGCGAACACTCGTATCTCGCTTAGAAAGAGACAGTGAGAGAGCCGTTTCATTTTTAGACAGACAAGGCGTTTGTGACAGGCCGAATCGTTGCTTCATCGAGCCCATCCTTCCCCTCTCCCCCGTATAATTCTCGAGGTGGATCACCTCCCGAGGTGCCTGTCGTTAATTAGGAACTCGCTTTCCGCTTCCACCCAGATTCTTCGTTAGCTAGCTAGCTAGCCAGCCCCAGTTTTTTCGCCCGCCGCTAGTCCTTCGTCATTGGCGTCTTTAATAACGAAGGATTTCCATTATCATTGCCACTGCGAAGGATTCAATTAGCGTCTTTAGGATTCTCATCCTTAGGAGGTCGCGATTAAGAGTTTCGGGTATTGAACGTAGCGCAGTTACGTGGACAGCCCTATTTTATTTCGTATAATCTATATCGCTTAAAGAACTCATTCCCGCCCGAAGAGATTTGTCAGAGTCGCGGTAGCGCGTCATTCTTCGGCCTCTGGCTGCGGAATTAGTCCGCGGAGGGAAAACTGCTGAATCACTTGCAGCTCAATCGTTGTTCTGGTGATAAAACTGTCACCACCTCGTATCGATTGTTTTCCTACAGAGTTAAAAATAATTTTCTCAACTTCTCCGAATCTCGCACTAAGTAAAAAAGAAAGTAGTTTTGAGACTATTGACTAATTAGAATAAGAAGCTTTTTATATCAGGATACGATGCGAAGTCTCGGGACCTCAAACTCACCCTGTGTGTTAGTTGGAGAGGGAGGGGAGGGAGGGGTTAGAATTTATCACGTCTACTTATTATCTTTCTCGAATTAGAGGGGGTCATTTTTGGGTAGTCACGACTAACATGTGATAGTCGGAAATAGATAAAAGAGACGGTCGACGACCGCGGCGTATCGATATCCTTGAGAAACTAGAGCCACGTGTCACCGTGATTATAGCCGCTATCGCTAGCTCATCCTTGCGTTACATTCTCCTAGACCTAGATATATACAGTATTTGATTACATCGATAGTCTAGAGAGTGAGTGCGTATACATAGATACATCCACACGCCTCTTATATATCGACCTTTCACCTCCTTTGCAACACCCTCTTCAGTAGATCATTACTTTACTTCGTCAGACCGGTGGCCGACTTTCCCGTTTCGATTTTCAAATATTATCACATTAAGGAATCAATCAAGCGAGTATTTTCTCTTGGCGGATCTCTGCTTAAAATGTCCGATAAGCAGATTGACAGAAATATATGCAAATTTCGCTGAAACACTACATAACTTCCGAACTTGCCATTCCTATCGGAAATTTCAATTTCTCATATTTTAGTTTATATGAAAGAGTTATCAATTTCTTTCATTTTTTATTGTAAAAATACTTGCTTTTAACGATTAAACATTTATCTAAATATGCTTTTCTTTGTAGTTTTATCACTTTTCACCAAAAATACGATTCAGTTACATAGTTTTACACATGATTTGATTTCTATCAAATCTGTTAGCAGGGATATGCCTTCAAAATACGTCTACATTCTAGATAACGAAGTGGTATTGTTGTTGATCAATATTTTTGTTGTTTGTACTTATCAATTATGACATCCGCGCGTAACGACGCGTCGCGAAGAACCTCATGTGGTGTCATTTTACAAGTGAAATTATTTTTACAAGCACAACCACCTTGCGATTTCTTTCCTAATCGGGATTCATACATACAGAGGCGAAATATGTAGACCGTTTCTCATCGCAAGAATCGCTCGCGGTGTCCAATTTGAATTCGCCAGAGTCAGACCCGACAATCCTCGAGGATTCCACCCGATCGTCCCGATAGCGTTATCTTCCACGAACTGTTCAACCCGGGCTAGGCTAGAGAACGCTAGTTACCACCTAGTGGCGTAGTCTAAGTACTTAAGTAGTGAGTATTAGTGTAATAGAGTAGTAAGTAGTAAAGTGTGGCGGGGTGTGTGTGTTTTGGGGCAGGATCATCACGGCGTTCTCGCAAGGCATACACCTGGATATGGATCTGCGCACGTTGCGTGCGATACGCGTGTTGCGACCGCTCAAACTTGTCTCCGGCATACCGAGTGAGTAGCGCATCAAGTAAACAGACACAGACCGCCGAGAAAGAAACGTATTCCGAGGCGATCTCGCGTTTAGAAATCGAGAGAACGTCGCTGACGTCGTGGCTCTCTCGAGAAACAGAGAGGGAGAGAGAGAGAGAGAGAAAGAGAGAGAGAAAAAAGCCCGAAGAAGCGTCCGCGTTGAGTTACCGTTAACGACGCGGTTAACGGAGGTGTCGATACTCAGACGCTCGCCGGATGAAGGTCCTGTTGCAAAGTCCTGTCGCGAAGTCCTGCGAATTGTCTCTCCGCGAACAATTCCGCCCGCATTCATACCTTCGGACGCACCCCAGCGCTAAAAGTGCCTTCTGTGTTCCTAACGCTGTGTGTCGTTCTCTCTGTGTACACATTATACATCGCGACATGTTCTCACGTCAAACGGACGAGCCGGTGTTTAATGTTTTTTGGGGAATGGATCTAACGGTTAAATGTGTGGTGGTGCTGAACAGAGGTGTGAGTATGGGCGCGCGTGGCTTGATTGTACATTTAGCGCTGAATGTCGTTCTGGTTTGTACCTTCCGGCTTCTTCCGTTCTTGAGTAGCGTCAGTTTCAGAGGTACTTGAAAGAACGCGCGAGAGGAGAAATCGATATCGGACGGTCGCGTTTGGCGCTAGACGTACGGCAAAAATGCTGGCGATCTTGTTGCTCGAGGACGAGAGCTTGGCTCGAAACCAATTCCCCGTGTCTGGGACTCGGACACCTCGAAGATCCGCTGTCGAGGATATTTACTATTTCTTGAATATATAGTGGCTACACATAGATTTAAACGACGAGCGAATTAACGAATCTATCTCGGAAGTCAAGTCAGTAGATCTCAGAGTAGTAACGTTTAATTGCAAGTATATACATATATATATATATATATATATATATATATATATATATATATATACATATATCTATCTATATATCTATCTCTCTATCACACCCGTAGATGCCTTGCCGACTTTAGATCGACCGTTTGTTTTATGTTGGTAGTATCGCCCGAATAGGTACCATTGAGAGCTGGATGTGTTGTGGTTAGATGCGGCGGAGGTGTCCTAATTCTTCGACACGGAGTCATTTCGAGTAAAATTTAACGATAGCGTAAATCTCGTGTAACGCATCGAAAACGTGTACTCCTTGAGAGTCTGTGAGCAACTTGCAGTCAGATCATTGTAAAGTCTGACTTTTCCGTCAGGTCGTGAATATCATGCGATTAATCAACTTTGCGATAAATTTGGATTTTCTACTTCCTGATCGTTTTGAGGAGATCCCGGATTTACTGAAAAATCATTGTCATGATAATTGTAAGAAAAATTCATGCGCGACTCCTCGAGCAACGGACGTTGACCATGCACGAATAGACAGAGAAAGAGGCGGAAGCAGTCCCGTTGAGCGTAGAATTCTGCATTGATCCCGTGGGAACAGTGGTTGGGCCTAATTACTCCTCGGCAATTTTTTGCGCACAGGTCTTCAGGTGGTGCTCAAGTCTATCATCAAGGCAATGGCGCCTCTTCTGCAGATCGGTCTGCTGGTACTCTTCGCCATCGTGATATTCGCTATCATCGGCCTCGAGTTTTATTCGGGAACCCTGCATAAAACGTGCTACGATATAGAGAACTTCGGTGAGTACTTAAGTCTTGAGTCATTATTCAGAGATTTTCAGACACTAGTTCTCGCATCATAGATAAGCATATTGTAGATACTAATTCTCTCTCATGATATTGTCATTATTGTTATATACAGGGTGTTCCGAACCTCCATGATGACCCTTGATGAGAACGTAGAACGGATTGAGGTGAGCAAGAAAGCCCTATGCCGTTTTGCGATATTCGCAATAATAGTCGAGATATTAATTAAAAAAGATTGGTGAATGATTACGCGCAATATGATGATGAGCTGCAGTGGCGCCGTCTGCTGTTGTATACTTATACATTAAATCAAATTGAACAAAAAAGTCTTATCATTTTGTAAATTACCATATAGATTTTTAGATATTAATTAAAGAAAATTTATGCATTATGATATACAATCATATATATAATAATTTTCTTTAATATTTAAAAATCTATGTGGTCATTTGCAAAATGGTAGAGGACTTTTTTGTTCAGTTTGACTTAATATATAAGTATACAACAGCAGATGGCCCCACTGCAGCTCACCTATACTATATCGCGCGTAATCATTCACCAATCTTTTTTAATTAATATCTCGATTATTATTGCGAATATCGCAAAACGGCACAGGACACTTTCTTGCTCACCTCAATCCGTTCTACGTTCTCACCAAGGGTCATTATGGAGGTTTGGGACACCCTGTATATATTATATATGTTCATATTTGTTTCATGCGAGCTACCACTTGCCATAAAAAGTAAAAAAAAATTGTATTTATAAGAACAGTCAATACTATCTTGAATTTTGAATTATCATTATGTAATTCTTTTCATATTTAATATCAAATTTGGAATATTATTTTAAATAACAGTATTTATAAACTCAGACAACTTTTTCAATGTTTATGACTAGAAGTGTAGACATAAACTTTACGACAGTACAACCAAATCTTTTTCTCCGTGTGGATCAGTCAAAAAGTTCAAATTGATTTTCAATGAACAACGTATTATTGTATTCATACACAAGCAACAATGATCTGCTGTCAGAACGTAAGGTAACGACAGCGCTTACTCGGTTGATGAGTACTTTCTTCCCATCGCAAACAATAAGTGAAATCTGACTAAAAAATCGAGCCAAACTTTTTGATTGACTCAATAATTGTTGGGAAAAAATATACCATTCTAGTTTTGAGGGTTCCAAGCGCCTGGGTGCGCTTCGGGGTCTTTCATGACGTTGACGTTGCAGATAAAATCATAAAGGAGGGCGATCAAGCGAGCCCGTGCAACACGGATGACGACCATGATCACCCGCCGGGGGCCCACGTGTGCGTATCGAACACCTCGACGTGCCTGGATCGCTGGGAGGGACCAAACTCGGGCATCACCAGCTTCGATAACATCGGATTCGCCATGCTCACTGTCTTCCAGTGTATCACTATGGAGGGCTGGACTGCCATATTGTACTGGGTAAAGCAAGAAATATGTTCTTCAGTGTTGAAACTTCTTTTTACTCTTTCTCGCTGTATTCCACCTATTCTCTTTCTCGCTCATTCTCTCTTTTGTGTCTTTCTCTGCTACAATTTGGACCTTTCTCGTTGTCGCGCGCACGATCTGCGCCTACACGGCGCAAGAAGCGAAGCTTCCTCTTGTCGTTATACGATAAATCGTTAGTCAAAATTCTCCTGTAGCACCATTGAGCCGCATCTCTTCATCGATCGCCAGCGCTTCGCGCTTTTGTATCATATTTTTGTATATTTCACCACTCCCGCCCGCCTATCTGTGTCTTAACAAATTTAGAAAGTGAAACTTTATCAGAGAGACTCGTTATACATATAGATGAAACTCTTGAAATTAAATCTTAGTAATTTTTTGTATTAAATCTTTATCTTAGTAATTTTTTGTATTAAATTTCCGATTCTTACCGGAATCAATAAATATGCCGGATTCGCGCGAGACGAGAAGTTACGCGAATTAAATCAAATTTTACAAGAACAAATTTAGCGAGAATTGTTCAACGTAGGAGATAATAATCGTCGCGAATACGTTTGCAATAATTGTTACTGACGCGTCGTAAAGTACGATGATAAATCGGTTCCTCTTCCTCCGCGAACTTTCCTCATCAATTTAGCCGTCTCAGAAGACATTATCGCTTCATCCAACTTGATACGAGAACTCCTTTCTGTCTGCTTGTATCGCGAATCTGTACATATATATTTATCCTTCTCCGGCCTAAATGTTTAATTATTCCTTTCGCAAATTAATCGCTGAGCGATCTCTGTGTGTTTCGTATCATCCCGATGTTCGCCCCCTTCGTACGCCGATGTGATTCGGCTTTAGACGAAGGAATGCCTGCGGAAACAGCTAACACTGACGTATATGTTCACCTTGCTCAGTATAACACTGTCAGTACCAGCCCTCTTTTTTCGATGTTTCAATATCGATGTTAATTGTATACCTTTTATTGTGCTTGACCCTTTCGTGACCGAACCGAGATCTCGTTCTCTCGAGGCCTTTTGGTCTTCTAGAACCGAAATACGCCAAGTGTATGTCAAAACATGTGTGAAAAGTAAATATTTACCGTGAAATTTATCTGATTGAGATCACGAAAGGGTTAACGTTCGGGGCCGGTGGATCGCGGAGGGCTCGCCGACTGCGTCGCGCCGCGAACGAGTCGCCGTTAGAGAACAGTGAAAATTCCTTGGAGCCCTCTGATTATCGCTCCGCCGGCTGCAACGAAATCACTTATTGTTAACTGTTATTATTGAGACGATTTCTGGGCCGTCTCGTGTCAATTTTTGTAGTTAGGCAACCTAGAAGAAAAGTCGGGGCGAGAAGGGCCATGCTTCGAACAATGAGCGTTCGTCGAACACTCAACGATCTCCGGCGAGACGATCCAGACAGCGAAATCGAATCCGGGATAGTTGAGATACTCGTGTATCGGATCGAGTCGCGAAAGCGCGGTTTAGAACCAATTCGAAAAATGGCACATTTCCCCGACTAGCTTTTTCTCTCAGGTTACTTTAGATGGTTTCGAAGTACCGTATAAACGCTGATATTATCGCGCGCGCGCGCGAGAGCGGTCGTCGGACTGTCGATTCACCCAGTCGGCCAGCCACCCACCGTTCGTGATCACGATGAAATCCTGCGCTTGTCGCTGGCAGGAAGAGCAGTCTCGAATTATCGAATAACGATAAAGAAATTCGCGCGTCTTCACCGGCCACCCTCGAACGACCGCGCTCGACGTCGCGCGCTTAGCGTCAGCTAAGAGAACAATGCAGCCCAGTGTTTCTCTGTGCATAATCGCCCTCTTGCCGTTAATTCATTGATATTACTCAGCTGTGTGTAAAGACCCGACGTGGTACGTGCGTGCGTGCGTGCACACACGACACGCGCACTTCATTCTGGTTCTGGTCGAATTTGCAGACGAACGACGCTCTTGGCAGCACGTACAACTGGATTTACTTTATACCATTGATCGTCCTTGGATCATTCTTCATGCTGAACTTAGTTCTCGGTGTCTTGAGCGGGTGAGTACGCCGACCACACGTGCCCGATAACACGCGTCCTGCGCGTCCGGTGTCCGCGTAAGCCGGCGGCGATTTCCTCCCACGCGACGACATCGCGGCGCGTAGCCGCGAATCCGCGTGAGAAGATCGATCGACCGAGAGGAGAGCGTGTACCGACCACTTGACAGAATCGCTTTCTTTCCTCGTCAGGGAGTTTTCGAACGAAAGAACGCGCGTCGAGCGCCGGGCGGCTTATCGGAAAGCGAAGAGCAAGCGACTCTTCACGACTGCGTTCAGTTCCTACTTAAAGTGGATCACTCAAGCAGGTCTCTCATTAGTGAACGTTGCCTCTAACGCTAGCGTAGGAGATAGGTCGTGCCCTTTTAGCGCGTTTGGCATTGCTCCTCTCTTGGCTAAAGTTAAATCGCAAGTAGGTAAAGTCGAGCTAAAAGACGTTTATTCATTCTCGAGCGCGGTGAATATCGATAGAAATTTTTCTTATTTTGCCCTCGATATATCATGCGAACTGTCAGAGAAAATAAGTCTTACTTTACTGAGAATAAGTGAATCTTTCCTTTGAAAGGTCTCTCTGGGAAGAGATGCGTGTCGCGAGATATTAATTTTACAAAAATAGTTGCTCGAAGAAAGAGAAGAAAGAAGAAGCTCGAAAATACGTATTACGTACATCAAATATAAATTACGTACATCGGATCGCGATGATACACCGAGGGTTCGGGAGAAAAATGCTAGCGTAGAGTAGTTAACATTGAAAAATCGGCCGTAAGGTCGCATGTAGTTAAGTAATTCTATGCGAGAGTTAGGTCGAAGAAATTCGTGAGACGAGTATCACGCGAGAGACCGACTTTTCTAAGAAGTCCCCCAATAATGCTATTCTCGTTAAGCACATAAGTACGGCAAGCTTATTAAGCACGCCGGTATTGCCAGGATATCTAATAATGCCAGAAAGTCCCACGCTAAACTTAGCCCTTATGAAAGTACTCCCGAGTAAGCTTCCATGTCACTTGTATCACGCTTGTGTAGAGAGTTTGCAAAGGAGAGAGAGAAAGTGGAGAACCGGCAGTCCTTCCTGAAGTTGCGAAGACAGCAGCAGCTCGAGCGCGAACTGAATTGTTACCTCAATTGGATCTGCAAAGCAGGTTAGACCGATCGTCGTAGGATTCGCTGTCGACCCAGCGAGGAAACATGCGAATTAAAATGGAATCGCGACGGGGATTCGTCTTGCGCAAAAAGAAGAAACAGTTCCCTCGTTTCGTAAAATGATTGACTCTTCTCTTCGCGGAAGACGTATTTCTTTGCAGGAAGAAGACCCTTCTCGCGCATTTATTTTCACTCCGCATATGAAGAGATCTCTCGCGACAACACGGGTCCCCGTCCGATCAATTTTAATTGGTCTGTCTCGCAAAAAGAAAGGAGCGCGCGCTTGCACGAGTTGCAGCTTGTTGCGTAAGCTAGCCCCGCGAGTCGCCGCCTCCCGTATTTATTATTATCGTTAACGTGTGACCGTTTACTTTTTCAGAGGAGGTGATACTTGCCGAAGAGAGGACCACGGAAGAGGAGAAAATGCATATATTAGAAGGTCCATATAACGAAACGTATATCGGCGTCGCATGAATATTCATTCCCATAAAGTCGAAAAAAGTTTCGCGCGCGTGCGCGCGAGAGGAGAGCCACATCTCCGAAACACTCTCGTGCATATTTATACAGGGTGTCCCGAGCATCGCGCTTATATTCTTTCGCTCCTACTTCTTTTTGAGGCGTTCGTATGGATCTCGAATTTTCCTTCTTACTTTCTCTTCTTTTTTCCTTTTTCTTATCGCGAGTGACGCCGTCGTATTCGAAAGATGTTCTCGTCTCGTAATCTTTTAATTAATTAGATGCAGAAACTTTGGCATAACTTGATCCTCTCTCTCTCTCTTTCTCCTTCCCTCTCTCTCTCACCATCTCACTCTGTATATGTATGTATGTTGCGCAGTAAGAAGAAGAGCAGCGGCCAAGAAGAAGAAGCTGAAGAATCTCGGCAAGAGCAAGAGTACCGACACGGAGGAGGAGGAGGGCGAGGACGATCAGGACGATGGTGAGTTGTATTTCGCCTACTCGCTGTGTTCATTGTATAATCTCGTCTCGTTCATTTCTTCTTTACATTCAAAGTTGACGGCTCTTTTTTCTCTCTCTTTCTCTCGTTTACTCTTTGTCTTTTTCTCTCTTTCTCTCTCTATCTCTGTTCTCAGAGTGTTCGAACGAATTCGTGTCGCGAAGTCGAGACGAAGTTCAAGTAGTAAAGAATTTCACGGTTTTCAGTAGTCAAATCCTGTGTTGGCAGCCAACAATTTCCTTAATAACAGACAGCGATAACGATTTATGAGACGCGAGATTCGATCATAGGGACAAATGACGAGAGGAATGATCAAATTTTCATGAATCATGAAGAAACAAGCAGAAGCTTCATTGAGAAAAAAATATTTGAAAATTTATTTGCAGGAAATATAATCTATTTCTGTGAAATAAACTTTATATCTTAAAAAAAAAGTTTCAAATATTTTTTTTTTAATGCAGTTGTGCCGCATGTGTGTCGGGGTTTATGAAAACCTCGCACTTTGCGTATTTTCAAGGATTGGTTGTGACGTTGTACGAAGGAAATTGTTGGCGCGAGGCTTTGGCCCGTTCTTTCTCTCTCGTTCTAAAATTTCTCTCTATATATTTATTGGCACGTTAGCGTTTATTCACGTTTCGCCGACGTATTATTGACGCTCGACATCGATTCATGCCTGATGATTTTTCTTCCTCGTGTCGAAAAGAAAGGAAGAAAAAAAAAAGAAAAGAAAAAAAAGAGCGACGCTCTTCAAAATTCTCCCTCCCCCAAAAAATCTGACGATGAACATTCTAAACACACGCTATCAGATGCTCCTCTTGTTTCAGTGCCTAAGAAAAAGCTCAAAGGTAACTACGACCGTGAATGCCACGACTTATCGCAATGAGCAACGTAATCTCACAAGGCTGTACTCGTAATCCTGTATAATTGTTTCTTTCCGTTTATTTCTTTCTTATATTTTTTCGTTTGTGAAAGATTTTCTACTCTTTTGGTTGGTAATACACACGTATACAAATAATTGTCGTGCGTACTACATCTACATAATCAGAGAAACGCGAGCAGTCGCTTGGTAAATACGTGATTTTCACGCCTACTCCGCGTACACAATGTATCAATTAGTCGCGCACGTCCATCGCGCTTGGTTCTAAACGCGTAAGGAGTTAACATTCTTGCGATAAAGCGTAGTTCCAACAAGTTAGATTTTATTCCATCGCTAGCCAAAGGTAATACCGTGGACAGTTCGTCAAGGATACTTGAATATTCGTCACTTGTCGCGTTAGCCGACGTTTGGTGCCGATGTGTAAATTTCAGAAGAAAATGAACGGTTAAAGAAGACACAATACTTCGTCCTAATACTTCTCGCGCGCCAAATCGAAGTGCTCGTTAATATCACGTGTGTGCACACTTACACGCACACAATCGTCCGCTCGCGAAGTCGCAATATACTTTACACACCCAGACGAAGTGTAATCGTCTTCATGTAGCTAGATTATTATTTATCGCAGTATGAGCATTAAAGTCGCGGACTGTGGGCGCGCAGAAAGCATGATAGAGAGTCGGCTGTGCGATGATAAAGACTGACGGTAAAGTAAAGGCCGGTGGATTACGTGTTGTGATTACTCGTGCGTGGTAGAGGATGTAACTATTATATGCACTGTCTGCAACTTATACTCAGAAACGACTTGCTGCTGACTTGTGGCTGACATGTATCACTCGAGTATCACGCGCGGGCATTGTCGAGAGACAGACAGATCGGAGAGCTCGAGTGCTAATTCGTTTTTCGTTTTCTAGGTATTGCTTCTATTGTGGCTGGTGTGACGATACATGAATATTATATTTTCTTTGTGGCCAAGAACGCTCGCGTGGATCATACTTTCTGATGAGAGTACGACTAATTTAAATGTTTAAATCCCTGATCTTCTATGAGAAAGACTTCTAAATCAATTTCCGAGTTTCCATTTCTCAACAAGTGATATATTGAAAAGTGTGATCCAGATTTGTTGTATTCTTTTATATTTCTACTTCTTTTCGTCGGACTTACAAGCGCGAGTGTTCCCGGCTGAAGTATGTCTATATGACTTAGGCGTACCGTGTGGTGGTGGGATACTGATTACTGTTTTTATCGACTTGATCTTAGCTAGTGAAAGACGAACTGACCGAACAGTAGAGTATACTTAGTATTGTCGATCGAGGATTTAGCCCCCCCGAGTAGTGTACTGTAAATCCTATCCCATAGAGTTTACTAGACAGACCGCTACCGGTCTGGCCGGTGTGGCCATCATAGCGTAACCGAGTAGCCATAACATACATACGTATCGCCATACACACATAGCTGTATCCGCTTAGAACGTAGAGAGTAACCTAGCATAGAATTTTTGTATTTATATCTCTTCTTATATCTCTATCTCTTATATCTTTCGTTGAGCGGAAAGGGGAAATGATTTTCCGACTCTTCCAGTCGGCGCATAAAACGGTTGAGGATGTCCATATTTAGAGCCGTTCCATTTCCGCGATATCCATTTTTTCTCGACGAACTTCCGGAAGAACATCGCTAGACATTATTCGGACTCGAGAGAATCTTGTATTGAACGTAGAACATCATATTTTCTGAATCGCGCGCGACTAGAGCTTTGAGTTTGTAGCTTAGCTTGAGAGTGAACGAAGGGATAGTGTTAAAAGTATCTGAAGCCCGACGAAAAGTTGGACGATTCACGTTGATGTGAGAATGATGGCGATGTCGTTCGCAAATTAATCGACCGATTGGTTCACGTCGTGCTCTCTAGACCGACCGATTTGTGTCTCGCCTCTCTGACGACGCGCGTTTCCATTTTTTAGGATTCTCGAGAACCTCCTACTTCAAGTCGAAGGTGAAGAAGCAGGGCACCTGCCTGCAGTTCTGGCGGGCTGAGAAGCAATTCAGGTTCTGGATACGGAACTCCGTCAAGTCGCAGCAGTTCTACTGGTTCGTCATCGTCCTTGTGTTCTTCAACACCGTCTGCGTGGCTGTCGAGCATTACGATCAGCCGAAGTGGCTCACCGATTTCCTCTGTGAGTACACTGCGAACTTTCCGCTTTGAACTTTCCTTTATCACGGACGCTAATAATAATAGAAGCTAATAATAATAGAAGATGTAAGGTTCAATTTCATCTTTTATAATGTTTCAAATCAACGAGCAAGTTCTCCGACTTGTTATTATCCTTTTTTCATTTTGTTCTCGCAGTCTACGCAGAGTTTGTGTTCCTGGCCCTCTTCATGATGGAGATGTTTATCAAGATGTACGCGCTCGGTCCTCGCACATACTTCGAATCGAGCTTCAATCGCTTCGACTGCATCGTCATCTTGGGCTCGATCTTCGAGGTGATCTGGTCCGCGTTGAAGTCCGGCTCTTTCGGCCTCTCCGTCCTACGTGCCCTTAGACTCCTGAGAATTTTTAAGGTCACCAAATACTGGAAGAGCCTGAGGAACCTCGTGATATCGCTGCTCAGCTCGATGCGCAGCATCATCTCCCTTCTCTTCTTGCTCTTCCTCTTCATTCTCATATTCGCGCTGCTCGGCATGCAGCTCTTTGGCGGCCAGTTCAACTTCGAGGGCGGCACGCCGCCCACTAACTTCAACACCTTTCCCATCGCACTACTCACTGTCTTCCAAGTAAGCCCGGCAATCAATTGATACGACTTTATACCAACAAATCGGACTATGAAGTGATGCAAATTAAATTCATGTAAACGCTGGCTCAACAAGCGATTTGAATTTTTCTATAATGAAGATTATCGTTTTACGATGTATCACGCGTGGTTTGGAGGTTACTTTGAAATAACCAGGAGAATTTGATTGGCGAGAGAAGAAATCCGCGTTGTAGTCTCGCCAGCTTTTAGGGTAGCGACATAGTATGAAATTTCAACTTGCAAAGCTTAAATGAGACAGATATAGATTCAACGACGTCGCTCGCCGCCAAGATTTCCGATTGACTCGCAATTAATTGCGCAGGTCCTGACTGGAGAAGACTGGAACGAAGTGATGTACCAGGGTGTCGAGTCACAAGGCATGGCCTACTCGCTCTACTTCATCGTGCTGGTGCTCTTCGGCAACTACACCCTGCTGAACGTCTTCTTGGCTATCGCCGTCGACAATCTCGCGAACGCGCAGGAGCTAAGCGCCGCCGAGGAAGAGGAGCAGGAGGAGGACAAGGAGAAGCAGATACAGGAGCTCGAGAAGGAGATCGAGTCGCTGCAGAAACCCGGGGACGGTGGCGCGCCGAAGGTAGAAATCTGTCCTCCAAGTCCAAACCAGAATTTGTAAGTCTCTCTTTTTTCTCGTCTTTACTTTTTCTCGTCGAAATCGTCTATTCTGTAAATTTGCACTGATAAAATTTGCACAAAGTCGGTTGATGCTCGATTTAAATTTTTGTACGTAATCGTAGAAATTGCGCCACTTAAATTGTTCGATTTTGTGCAAAACTTTGTCGCACGCTCTGACGTTTTTAAATTTAAATTCGTTTTAAATTTAAATTTAAATTCCAATTTAAGTCAAGTGGAATTATTTTGTAAGTTAGTAAAATTATCAATTTATGTCACTGAATTAATTATGACAATTAATTATGATAATTAACTCAGTGATGCATAAAATAGAGCGGACAAGTTGAAGAGTGCAAAGAAGATGGTAAAGATGTAAAGTGAAGAGAGTGTGTTTCGTCTTTTTCAGCAAAGACGGAAAAGGTGAAAAGCAGGCGTCCGAAGAGAAGAAGCAGGATGAAGACGACGACACGGGACCAAAACCAATGCTGCCATACTCCTCCATGTTTATACTGTCCCCTACGAATCCGTAAGTTTACTCTCCCTACGTCTGCGATGTCGCTAAAAATACAGGATGGTCTTTCACTATGGGCGTTTTCTTTGTAGTATAAGAAGAGGCGCCCACTGGGTCGTCAACCTTCGGTACTTCGACTTCTTCATAATGATAGTGATATCGCTGTCGAGTATTGCGCTAGCCGCCGAGGACCCCGTCTGGGACCTCGCGCCGAGGAACAAGATCCTCAACTACTTCGACTACGCGTTCACCGGCGTCTTCACCATCGAGATGGTGCTGAAGATCATTGATCTCGGCATTATACTGCACCCGGGCTCGTACCTGCGCGAGTTCTGGAACATTATGGACGCAGTGGTCGTGATATGCGCAATGGTGTCGTTCGCGTTCGACATGTCCGGCAGCTCGGCCGGCCAGAACCTCTCGACCATCAAGTCGCTCAGGGTGCTGCGGGTGCTCAGGCCGCTAAAGACGATAAAGCGCGTGCCGAAGCTCAAGGCGGTGTTCGACTGCGTGGTGAACAGTCTCAAGAACGTCATTAACATTCTCATAGTGTACATATTGTTCCAATTCATATTCGCTGTGATCGCGGTGCAGCTGTTCAATGGCAAGTTCTTCTACTGCAACGACGAGAGCAAGTATACGAAGGAGGATTGCCAGTGAGTACGCCTGTCCAGCCTCAATGTTATTTTTTAACGTGCGCTTTCGCTCTCTTAATTATTGGAAGAAACTCCTTGAGATATATAATTGAAAAGCTCGCATTCAATTAGAAATGAGACGTATCATTGCTCAGATGTGAAAGCGCGCGCGAATTAAGAGAATAGTACGGAGAATTATATATATATATATATATATATATATATATATATATATATATATACATATATATATATATCAATTGTTTATCGATTATAGTTTAAGAAGAGTCTGACAATTATCGAGTTAAAATAGCGTGTCTCGAACGGTACGAATAGAAATTAATTTGGTTGCCCCGACAGTGGTCAATTCTTCGTTTTCGAGGAAGATTCCATGCTACCGAAGCTTCAGACACGGGAATGGGAACCGCAGTCTTTTCATTACGACAACGTAATGGTGGCCATGCTGACGTTGTTCGCCGTTCAGACCGGCGAGGGCTGGCCGCAGGTCCTGCAGAACTCGATGGCGGCCACATACGAGAACAAGGGTCCCATCCAGAATTTTCGCATCGAGATGTCCATTTTCTACATCGTTTACTTCATCGTCTTTCCGTTCTTCTTCGTCAACATCTTCGTGGCCTTGATCATTATCACGTTCCAGGAGCAGGGAGAGGCTGAACTGCAGGACGGTGAAATCGATAAGAATCAGGTGACACTTTGTGCGAATTGTCCTTTTACTTATGTAAATTAGTCATTTCATATTTTGCACACAATCCGCGAAAATTAAGTAAATTATTAAGTAAATTAAGAGACTTGAGTCGATTTTTATTTCATGCAGTACATGAAAATTCGTCGAAAATACATTCGAAATATTTCACGCACGATATCTCGAATCGTAGAAATCGCACTTTTTTCCGAGGAAAAGAGTACTTTTGATAATAATGTTTTATTCATTTGCGATTAATGCTACGTGCCCTCGTGTTCTTTCAGAAATCTTGTATAGACTTTACAATACAAGCTCGGCCGTTCGAGAGGTACATGCCGAAGGAGCGAAATAGCATAAAGTACAAAATCTGGAGGATAGTTGTATCCACGCCATTCGAGTATTTTATCATGATTCTCATCGTCTTGAATACGTTACTTCTCATGATGAAGGTAAGTGTCACGATCGTCGGTTTCTCTCCCTCGTGCACTTCAGTTCCTCAGATAGAGATTTACTAATCGGACTGCTAATGTTTGTCCCCTGATTCGCTCCGATCTAGCAAACGCGAGTGACGAAAGAAGGAAGTGTGTTTCAATCGAAAGCAAAAGTTGTGCAGATCTAGATTTGCGGGAGTTTCTTTGCGAATCTAACTTTCAAAACAGGTTCGAAACAAACTGAGTCAAAATTTTGGTTCTACGTTAATCCTGCGAATTCCTTCGAACTTTGAAAATCAATGGAGAAAGTCTCGAGACAAAACACTATAGTTGGGACGCTTCCGTGCTGAAAGCATCATTCTATCTTCCTTTGGCATGTAATGAGCAATAGAGATAGAACGACTCTATCAATACGAAAGTGTCCAAAGCGAACGTAGCCTTCACAGGGCTATTGCGCTACTTTGATGCTACGAACAGTTGCTATTTTCTCTATGTTGAGATTAAGGTTTAAAAAAAGGCCTGCTGAAAACTCCTGTAGAATGGCTCTAAGTTTTGTGATTTAGAAAATGGATATTCGGAGTTATTTAATATTCGATTATCTCAACGTTTTCCATCTGCATTTAATCGTTGTTCCCAATTTTAATAAGCGATGTATAGATAGTTAACTAATTCAAAAAATAATTGCGAAAAAAGGAAATTTTAAATAATCTAATAATAATTAATGGGTAAATATAATAAAACAACAAATTTTCTTTTTTATAATCCGCTCATTGTCTGTTTTTATTGACGTCGAAAATTTTGGTGGGACTTGGTGATATAAGAGAAGTGAAAAGAAAGGAGTTGCAAGGATGAGGATGGCAGTTGTGTGCGTACGATAATATTGTAAACCAATAGGTGATTTAAATTTGAGTTCGGTACAATAATCTTTTAAACGGAAATGGAAAAGTGTTGACAAATTCAAGGTGGGAACTTGTGGAATGTTTTGAAAATGTTGATTGTTATGATCTCTCAGCTACGGAGATCATGTGCGCGTTATTGATCGGCGAGCGATGACAGTTGGCGTTTGGTGGGGAATGTTTTGCTTTTCTTGCCGATTGTTTTGCTACTCTCGTGTGCCGTGTATTTACTCCGCGACCAAGTCATTACTTTTCGAACCGACGAGTAACGCACGTGTCGCGACGCGAAGCACTTGTGTCGGTGAGTAAGTTATTTCCGTGGACTTTTGAAATGTTTAATTTGACTGTCGTGGACTGTTAATTAACGCGCGTTTCTCCCAACGAATCGTGCCTGCGCGAGTGTCAGTGTCAGTGTTAGTGTCAGTGCCATGATGGAGTATTCGGAGCAGCCGGAAGCAGAATGCTGGATTGAGAGGCCGGGGTGGAGGGCGCGGGCAGCGATGCATCACGCATTCCCAGGTGTGTCAAATCATTTATTATACGGGATACTTTCGAGTCTAACGAGCAAATGTTAACAAACTTATCGAGAATAAGAAGATACCCGAGTCGAAATTTAAAATCAAGCATAATTCTCGCCGATTTGTACGTCTGATAATACTTCTCGGGTCGCAGGTCCCATCTTAAATCTGCCAACATTTTTTTCTCACTTTTTGTTGATTTTTACACCGAATTCTTATATCGAATTGTACCGAATTTAAATCTTTACTGATGCATAGTATTATTCGACACACAATTGCTGTCTTCGCCCTCACAATTGCTCCTTCATCCTATTTCCTTTGAATCTTCAAGTCCAATTAGTATTTTCAACGCCAATGAAAAGGGAAATAACGACAAAGAGATTACGAAGAATGAAAGTTTGTTGTTTAACCCTTGGATCGCTCAACAATAAGATGATTGCTGTGCGCAGAGCTAACGCTAATTGTCATTATGTCTCATTTGCGCATTGAGTGTCGGACGTCTTCAGGCGTTGTCCGCACGCAGTGACTGTTGAGAATCAGACGTTTTTAGTAGCAATCTTCGTGCACAGTTAAGACTTCCGCCACAGGTTGCATATATGCGCTGTCTAAGGGTTTATTCACTCTTAATTAATTAATTCCCTTAGTAATTCTATTAATTACTTCATATTTGCTTATCATATTTATTGTATCTACAGTTAAATAAAGTCATATAATCAATACGTTTCTTAATGAAATGAAGAATAAAGATTAGATGCAAGTGTGGAACATCGAGATAATCGAATATTAAATAATTCGTTACTAGATTCTTCTTTGAAGTCTCGTTAGAAACGTGGAAAAAACGGTTGTTAGTAACATTAATTATCAACGATAGGACAATAGCCTGTATAGCTATTATAATATATATATATAATAGTTAAAGTATAGCGTTACATCTCGGAATTCTCCATTTGTCCTTCAAGTCCGACGGAATTTGCAGGTTTAATGTAGAATCGAAATTTCGACTCGGGAATATTCTTGCGAGTCTTCGAGTTGCCTCCGACTGCTTTCGACTCCTCACATCGCAGTTCTGAAAAGCACATAAATGCAAATTATTGTACCTTACGAAGAACATGTGACAAAGAAAGCTGAGATAACGGACAAAGTATTTTTTCAAATATATTTTTGCGAGACATTTCGAGTAGCTTTAATTTCAGGATCGAAATTTGGCGTTTATGTCTTATTTTTGGAGCTGCCGTGTCCCACCCGTTTATTTTTGCGTTTTGCGATTCCCAGTCATTTTGATAGCCGCGCATTTTTTGGCGTAAGACCCATTAAACCTTTTTTGGCAACTTTAACCAATCGACAAACAGTCTCGTCTCTTGTTAGCGTCACGAATACGCGAGGTCGTAAACGAGAATATGTCGCGTCCAAAAGCAGCGTACGTAATACCGAATTACTGTACCATTATATATATATATATATATATATATATATATATATATATATATATATCACATTATTATATACGAGGACATTGTTGTTCTTGCCTGCTGATCTTTTTTAATCGTTTTCTCTGTATAACTGTCATCCTTGTACTTACCAATACGTGTACACAGCTATGGCGAATTATCTTGCCCCAAACATTTCCCCGCAAAATATTTTCCTTCTATGGCGACATACCGTCCGTTTTATGTTTGTTTCTTTGTTTTACTGATTTCTGAATATTATTGTCTCATTTTCATCTCTCGACAATATGTATATTTCTATGATCTTGGTTTAATCGTTAAACCCTCCTCTCGCAAATGCAACTTAATATTTTGATGTGTGTCGTCGATATATCGACCAATTTCCTAAATATCGTTGGCACTCTTTTTGATCCTCGAGAGATATCAGTAAAATTTTAACAAAGTCGAACAGTTTATTAATTAAATAAGTCAATTTGTTTTAATCACTATAAATGTTCGTCGGAAGCAGAGACATGCGAGTAAAACAGCAACTTTTCGCCAATTTTGTACAATGCGTACAATTCACATAGCAATTTTCGTGAATGTGGATTTTTTCATTTTAATAATTTAAAAGAGCGCGTGAGTGTTGCCAATTATACAAGGAAAGGCTGTTTCTTTATTCAGTTTTAACCTGTCTTAATTTTACCGTTAATTTTTGACTGTGTATTCTTGTCCTCTTCATGTTTATTTTTTGTTTACCCTAAAACTGGTTTCTATCTGATCCCTCGTTCGACTAATTGCATGGCTGCCGCTGTGTCCTCGTTTTCGAAGTAGACATACTCGAGAACGTGTGAAGGGAACGTTCGAACATCGATGTGACCTCCACAGACACACACATAACACACATGTACAACGTGCGTTCGACTCTTGCGCCTTGCTAATACCATGTTTTAACTGGTAGCAAGGCGAAGATATCTAGCACCTCTTTCATCCGCTTAATATAACCGAGATTTTAGAGGAGAGAATGCCAGAAGGTTGCGACTTCTCGGCGTCCACGAGCCCTGCACGCGAATCCACGTGTTGTTCTGAAGCACCTCTTTTTCAAATTGACGTTTAATCTCTTTCTCACTCTTTTTCTCTTTCTCTCTCGAGCTTCCCTTTCTCTCGATATTTCTTTCGGGACGCAAAGATCGTCTTTATAGATAATTTTACGTTTCATCCATGTAAAATCAAGTAGAGTAGTCGGAAGCTAAATGGATACATTTTGAGGATAAATGGAACAATGTAGGATAAGTTTACTGTGGTAAAATTTGCACAGCTGTCGCAAAATTGTAGAAAAATTTTTAAATGCTTGTTTAGTGCTCATTGTAATTTTTGAAATAATCTTGTGAGTACTGAGCGACATTTTTTATTGTATGATTTTGTGGTAACAGTCAGTTTTATCATTGGAAATTCGTCACCTTCTTCCATTTTTCATTGCTTCCAGGCACCTAAATCAACTAATAACGATGGATGAATGGATTTGGATGTTGAGTCGAGTTTTGAATTAGAGATTTGCTTACAAATTCACTTCCGCTAACTTCGATTTACCTTACTAGCTTTTGTTTAAGGATAAGAAATATATTCTGAAAGAGAGTTGGATGTTTTTACATACGCACTCTTTCTTTCCGCGTGTTATTAGATCTATAACTCGACTCGCTCTTCGAGTCCAAATTCATCCGTCGTTTTCGAAATAGTGGCGAATCGATGACAAAAGATTTTAGCCGGATTCGCGCACGCTTTCGTTTTGAAGGCTTCTCCGAGCCGCGGTCCCTCCGTTTGCCTCTCGATCCCCGATCTGTACAGTTTGAACGCACGAGATAGATTTCCACCCTTGCCTCTGTCAAACGAGACCACCCTTGTCTAGACTCGCTGAACTAGAGATAGACAGGTAGACGAACACACACATACATACACGTGTGCGCGCACGCACACGCGCTAATTCGAACTTACACACCGCCCGATTATGATATGATGTGATCGGACTTGTTGCCTGAGAAAAAAAGAAACACGGAATGTTCGGATCACTTGCACACGCACTGCACTAAGTCTTGAGAGCACATATCGAGTAAGACACGATATTCACGTTATCGGATATGCTCACGCGAACGGGGAGAAGAGATATCTCGTTATTGAAAATTTTGTTGGTTCGTAATTATCATGAAAATGTGTTCAATTAGCGAAAATCTCGACGGGAGCCTTTAGCTAATGATGCAAGAGTTTTTGATTAAAAATCAAGTAGATAAAATGTCGGGATAATTCTAGCGCTGTGTGTTTCATGACATTGTGACTGGAATAGTCACGTGGCTTATGGATAGAGGAAATCTCTTCGCCCATTTATGCGATGTTTTGTTTCGCTTCCAAGCCGCAGGATTGATTATGGTTTTGGACATTAGTTGATTAATTAATTATGTCTATTTGCCACATTACATAACGCACAAATTGATTAGTTCGTGTTCTCTCCCCGTCAGGGAGCGGCGACCGATACGGTGTATGTATATACGATTATATACATCTATATAGATCTATATACGGACACATACATGCACACAAGATAGCCCGCACTTCTTCGTACATACACACACGTGCAAAATTGCGTGTCGCATGCTGGCTGCCACCGAAACAGATCAATTGATACAGAAGTTGAGCGAGACAACATTAGACGTCCACTGAATGTGTGTGTGTTTTTTAGTGACAGGAAACACTCTGCACGGGGCGATCGCACGTTTGACTCTCCACCCAGCCATTTCCTCCTCTCCCTTTCCGTCCTTTTGGAAAATTGCGGAGAGATCTGAACACTGTTCTCGAGAAGTGACACGTCATTGACCCCGTCGATCCCTTCATCGCAGCACCTTCTTTCCGTTTCGAATGTTTCACTGAGTGTCTTTGTTTCCTTTCGGTTGTTCTTTATATGTTCTCTCTTCGGTCGTTTCTCGTACTTTTATTTCAATGTCACACTCGTCCTCAATTCAGCAGCAACCAAATCTTCAGACACTAACTCGTATATGTCCAAATCCTGGCCCGGATTCTGCAGGAAGCAACGGCAGGAGGAGAATATTTAGTTTAAACCATAGAGGATCGTGCGAAGACGCGCGTGTTATCCTTTCGAGAGAAATCAAAATCCAAAATCGTTATTGTAATAATATCTGTTAGTGCGATAATTTTCTCTTCGTTAAGGAAATTTAAATCAGCGTGCGTATCGCGACGTTCCGAATTGTTAATTAAATTCCATCTTTATCTTGGAGATCTCGTCGGGTAACTCGAGGAGAATGTCCCATCGACAGATCCTTGAAACGTCTAAAATCTCAAAGAGAAAAGAGTCTTATCTCTAAGGATCTCTATGAATTTCAAATCGATGGACTCTATTTAGATTCAGAAAACCACGACGCGAGCAGAAACTCGTGTTCCCGCTTCGTTGTCGAACAATCCTCCCGTCGTCGCGTCCGACGGAGTCCACTGTCCGGGAAATCCCCAGTATACAGTCCATTAACCCAGAAGGCCAATTAATCACCAGCTGTTACCAAGCTGTACATGTCCGATATCTCATAGGGCCGAACAAGTCGATTAAAGAGACCTATCGTACACTGCGAAGCGCAGGTAACTTGGTCACTATATAGTGTATTCCACGTGCACATTGTCGACATATGCACCACACTCGATGAAATAGCAGTCTATATGTCGCAAAGAAAGATATATATATATATTTACACATAAGAGAACAAACATATTTATTAACTGTACCCCGTACATAACACACCGAGTAAGTTCGTACACGTATATAAGGCGATATATATCTTTATATTAAATGTCCTCCCCCACATTCTTTCGGATATAAGATGGCGTATGTTCACACTTACGTTTACGTATATGCATATGTAATCTCGCGTACCTCGCACTTTACTTTCCACACGCCATTTACGACTGCGAAACTGTGTACCAATTCGTGACACGGAGCTGATTCGGTCGTTCTTTCACGCACATATTTGACAATTTATTTATTATTATTTTATGTGTTGTTACTGTCTATCTTGTTTCTCTCACTCGTGGAGATGAAGCGTCTCTTGATTCTCTCATTGATATCATTTCTGATTCGGTGCAATTTTTACGGTCACGCAAACGATACATCATAAGGGATGACGTTGTGCTTCAGCAGAGATTAAATTTCCGCGTCGGGATTAAAGGATTGCAAAATTACTCGTGCGAAAATGTTCATGCTTCTAGACGCAGCCAATGAAATTTCCTTGTCGCGATTCCCGCATTGTTACGATATGCAGGATTGATTTAGAAATTTCTAAAAGAATAAGAATCAGAAACATCGTTAATTAAATTCGCCGGTGCAAACGATACCAAATCACTTCGCTTACCTCTCGTACAGTTCCAATATAATTTCGGCTTGCTGTTGACGCATGGATCGTACTTATCACGGCACAGAATGTTCATGTATCGGTACACAGAGTTTCGGCGTGGAGAAAGAAAGGGACAGAGTCACTTCTTCCTTCCTCTCGACGTGACGGTCCAAAGGAAGGAAGAGAGGGTCGTTTTGAGCAAAGAGTGAAAAAAGAAACTTGGGGGGAAAAAAGAAAGATTCTTGTCGACGAGACACGTGGTTTTTTTATAAGCCTGTACGTACACGTATGTCTGTCTGTCGGCCGTGTGTTTGTCAGTGTATGCATTGCAGTTCCATCGGCAAAGCGAGCAGTACAAGAACACGCTGAAGTACATGAACATGTGCTTCACGGGGATGTTCACTATCGAGTGCATACTGAAGATCGCCGCATTCGGCGTGAGGGTAAGCTCCACATATGCCAACACCCCTCTCACCGAACTCTCAGAATTGCTCCGAGTGTAAAGCGAGATTTAATTCGAGACTCGCTAGGTAGAGTAGCGCGAAAAGTGGCTCCCCGTGATCGCTCTCGAAGTCGAGGAGTGAAAATTATCGTTATCGTCGTGAAAGAAAGTAATTAATTAGCGACCGCTCATTGAATTTAACTGATACAAATACGTTCGTTGCGTGAATATAATTTTTCTGTCGCTGTCGAAGTTATTCCCATCGTTTGTCGGGTAAATTGTTTTCAAGCGACACAACCCGAAGACGACAGATCGTTGTAGTGATGTTTTCTTTACTATCTTCTTTGTGCGTTTATTTTAAGATTACGCAATAATTGTCGATGAAAGTCGACAATCAGACATGGAGAAGCGTCACGGGAGTCAATTTTCGCGTCGCCCGGTAAGTGCCGCTTACTAGAAAGTAATTAGAGCGTTTCTCAGCGAGTACCGGTAGCAGTGACGTATCGGACACTCGGTACTCCGGAGACATTCGTATACTTTCTATATCGCGCGTGTACAAGTATATAGAATATACTATTTAGTGAACTTTCTGTGCGCAGGGCTGAACAAGCGCTAGATGCTGTCGGAGTAGTTGTAGCGTTTCAATTACAATATATATATATACCTCGTACGAACATATATAGATATGTATCTCGATAGAACTAGAATGGTATTATCTTTCTTTCGATGGTGCTCTTTTGCAAGAAATAGTTTTGCAAGATCTTTAGATAGAAACTCTCTTTTCCTTAATACTCTCGTACTCGTCGTTGTATCCTTGGGACCTGAGTCCGCAAGATGAACTCTACAAGTACTTTAGTATGCAGAAAATGCTCAGCTCTGTACACGTGATCGAGCTTCAGGGCTGTCTGGGAAGACTTGAGACGTAAGAGAATTTGGGAGATTTTGCGCTCACGTGCGCGTGACTTTTATTCTTTTATATCTGACTTGAACTTTTATTTCTCTTGATGTAGAAATTCACAATATTATATTAGTAAGACATTTTTAGACAATAAATTTTTGTTGTAGCATTTGAATTCGGTTATACCAACTTAAGAAACGTGTTTAAAATTTACAAAGGTAATATTTGTTCAAAATGTGAAAATTTATAAACAAAATAATTTATGCGGAATTAGATAATGATACATATATATCTTCCCAGGTTTCCTATATTCATAATCACACCGAACACGAAACGATAACGGGATTGAAAGGGATGGTCGGATGCGAGTTTGCCATTATATTTTTCCTACTGTTATGTTTTTAATTTTTACGAGTAATATTGATTTACACGTAAAAGATCGATCTACTTCTGTTTTATCCCGTTATCATGATAAAAGCTAATCACATTGATTTCATTCAAAATACTAAAAAAGTTCAGACTGCGATCGAATAATCACAAAGTGTCTACGCTTGACAGATATTCGATCGTAGTGTCAAAGACTCTGGAGCGAGCTTATCCGCAAAAAGAACAATTTGTCTTACTTCAATCGATAATTATTAGAACAAGTGTTTGAAATTGAAATTGTACGCGATTTCATAAAGTCTTTCTGGCGTAGAACTCGCGTAGTAAAAAGATTGTATAATCGTCGGTGGAGAAATATGCCACTTCACCATCGAGATAATGAGATCTTTCTCTTTCTATTTGCAAATCTTACGCTCTGCTAATAAACACGTTCTCAGAGTCTCAATCGGGATGCAATTAATCTAGATACATATACACACAATTACACTCACAATATACTCTGACATAAAGATTCATAATACATCACACATCATCATAATAGCACTCATAAGAAACCAAACACAACAATTCGATGTATTGTACATGACATAACTCTTACATTGGGTTATTTTCAGTTCGTCTCTCTTTCTCTCTCTCTCTCTCTCTCTCTCTCTCTCTCTCTCTCTCTCTCTCT